ACCTGACAACAACAACAACAGAATCTACTCGATGGCACTTAACATCAACCACCTTAATGTTGGTGGGGAATATTTTATCAGATCCATGCAGTTATTAACATTTTTTGCTAAAATGTTATATAATCAACCCTAGGTGTTAATGAAATTTTGCCTATGTATGACATGCATATAACATTTATTTTGTTTTATTTCAGCGTGTAGTTTCCGGCTTGGGCTTGGCTTGGATTGTTGGACGAGTTCTTTATGCTTATGGCTATTACACCGGAGGTAAGCACACGCTGACATCTGCCAGGGAAACACATTTAAAATCTTACCCTACTAGATTTTCCTTTTCTTTTAGCGGGGCTTTAAGGAAAGTGGAAAATAAAGTAGCTTGATATTTTGGTAAAAAGCCTGTTATTGTCTTTCTTTTCTTAACCTTTTAATAGAACAATAATTTTATTGGACAGTGTCAGTGTGACAATTGCTGTTCTAAAAACATCGCATATGTTATTTAATGTTATAAATTTACACACCAACCACTAAAGCCAGTGAGGATGAAACCGAGGAATTTTACCAACCTCTTCAGTTTGCAGTTGATCAAACATGCAATCAGTATGTACTGATAATTACTGGTATTGGAATGAAAAGGTTGGAAACAAAGAGGAAGAATCAGTCGTTGGACAAAAGGCTTTGGTGATAGAAATGATACTGGATATCATATAATTTTGCAAGACTGATGACGTCTTCATTGCAAATATCTTTTTAAAATAACATAAAAGATGACAATGTACATGGTCACAGAAATCAAATTTACTACATCTTTGGAAAGAGACGTATTGCGTTAGGCAAATCTGCTGCACAAGACCTCTTTAAAGTGTTCAGGGACAGAGATGTCCGTTTGAGGACTAAGGTGTGCCTGACCGAAGCCATGGTATTTTCAATAACCTCATGCATGTGGTATTAAATGGTCTTCCCTGTAGGGGCATGGATATTATCCTATCACAGACAGCGTTGTACCTCACCATAGATCTTGATGTGCTCTTTTTGACAATGAATGCAACACCATTCCTCTTCAATTTGCCATTCCCAGCCTAGTAAACCATGTGGTTGTCATATTCATAATGGCCAATACCAGTCCATGTCAGCTCACTAATGCCTAAAATATCAATGTTTATGCATTCCTTTTCATTTTTGACAATTTCTAATTTTCCTAGAGTCATACTTCGTACATTCCAGGTTCCGATTATTAATGGATGTTTACAGCAGTTTTTCTTCACTTTGAGTTGTGCCCTATCACAACTCAAAATGAAGTCTGTGATAGGATAGTATCCA